TAAAAAAAAAAAAAAAAAAAAGTACCTTGCAGAGAGAAATGAAATAACCTTTGACAAGATTTTCAATCAGAAAATTGGTAAGTCCTGCTTGTTCATTTGGCATACGGTAATTTAAAAAAAAAAAAAAAAAAATACTATAGTAATAAATGAATGCACCCTCCAGTGCTTTATATCCTCTATAGCTGCAGCTGGGAATAAAGGAAATTTCATGTAATTAATAAGGTAAAAAAAAAAAAAAAAAAAACCTAGTAGCATAGTCTATTAATAAGCTCTTAGGAGATAAAAAAAAAAAAAAAAAAAGCATGAAAACAGCATTGCTGAATGTAAGAAAATAGCATATTCCTTTCTTTTCTTTGCGTCTTGCCTGCCTCATATGGTTACTGAGGTGGTTTGAAAAAAAAAAAAAAAAAAAAGCTGTAAAATTATTTTATGACTGGAGGAAATTACTTAAAAAAAAAAAAAAAAAAATAAACTTCCCTAGAACTCAATTTGTGCTCTGTTTCCAAAAAAAAAAAAAAAAAAAAGATAGATCCCTTTAAGACTGTGTATCCTTCGAGATAAAAAAAAAAAAAAAAAAAAATTTGCTGATGAGGAGATGTAGACACAGGGAGGTGGCGAAAAAAAAAAAAAAAAAAAGTTCTCCTTCTTCTTTATTCCGATAATAAAATAGTAAAAAAAAAAAAAAAAAAAAATTACGAGTAGAAGCTGGTGCAGAAATCTTTGGATTTTAAAAAAAAAAAAAAAAAAATTTACAAAAATTAACCTGTCTGTGAAGGTGGTCTTTGAAAAAAAAAAAAAAAAAAATCACCCATGAAGTACAATGGGGAAGGTGGACGGAGTGAAAAAAAAAAAAAAAAAAAGTGTGGTCTGTCTGAGCCTGAGCACTGTGTGTGGAAAAAAAAAAAAAAAAAAAAAATAGAGATATTTCATCCTGCTCCTCAGGAGCTGGTTGGAAAAAAAAAAAAAAAAAAAAGTTTGGCTTTCATTTTGTTAGTTCTCACGGCTTCTCAAAAAAAAAAAAAAAAAAAGTTACTATAAGCTACACAGATGTTCTCCTTTGCTTCTGATTTTGTACTAAAAAACAAAATAAAGCTGGTGATAACAAGAGAGAAACTCTGTATAAAAAAAAAAAAAAAAAAAAAGGAATTATCTCTTTATTTGCTAGTTAAAAATTTTTAAAAAAAAAAAAAAAAAAATATTGAGGTATATTTCACATAGCATACAGTCCCCACAAAAAAAAAAAAAAAAAAAATGACTTTTTGTGTATTCACCGTCATACAACCATCTGCAAAAAAAAAAAAAAAAAAATTTTTATCACCCCCAAAAGAACTTGTACCCATTAGCAAAAAAAAAAAAAAAAAAAATCCCTCAGCTCCTGGCAACCACGAATTGAGTTTCTGCAAAAAAAAAAAAAAAAAAATTGGCTGCGCCACATGAAGGGAATCACACACTGTGTGAAAAAAAAAAAAAAAAAAATTCAGCATAATGCCTTCAAGGTTCGTTCTGGTGGTAGCACGGATCAGAACTTCAGTCTGCTTTCCCTTCAGCTCTCATTCCAGTTTCTGAAATAAAAAAAAAAAAAAAAAAATTGTTTTCTGTTCTTCTCTCTCCCTCCTGTGGCTCCTAAAAAAAAAAAAAAAAAAATAAACATACATACAGCCCCCAAAACATGTATTTCCTGAAAAAAAAAAAAAAAAAAAACCAGACCCTGGCACCGGGAGGCTCTGACCTGAGCACCCATTGGCGTTAGTGTGGCCCAGTATCTCAGCTGCACAGAGCGTTCCCTGAGAGCAAAAAAAAAAAAAAAAAAAAGGCTCTGAATCTTATCTGAAGTTGTTAAACATTGTTTAAAAAAAAAAAAAAAAAAATTGCCTTCAATTCGTGAGCTTGGATGTGGTCAGGAGAAGCCAAGTTTGATGGAGGCTTAGGGAGAGCGCACACCGCCATCTGTAATTACGTTTAAAAAAAAAAAAAAAAAAATGTTGGCCTGCTCCCCATTTTTCTCTGTAGTAGTCTCAAAAAAAAAAAAAAAAAAAAATTTCTCTGCCTGGTCTCAGGGATGGGGGAGAGTGGAAGGTGGGCCATGGTGGGAGTAAATGTGTCTGACACTCCAGGTCTTCCTTTTCCAGAAAAAAAAAAAAAAAAAAAGCACTGACTCCATGCGTTCCTGCCTTACTCTTTCCCCAAAAAAAAAAAAAAAAAAACTCCCCTCACTGTTTCCTGGTCCTCTTGTTCTGTTTCAAAAAAAAAAAAAAAAAAACATCTGCTCCTTTTCCCTCTTTGCTTACCTCCCAAGCAAAAAAAAAAAAAAAAAAACTATAGGGCTTGGGGACTGTCCTCCAATGTGTGCTGTAAAAAAAAAAAAAAAAAAATTTTCAAAATGAAAACCATAGAAGTCTTTAATTTACTAAAAAAAAAAAAAAAAAAAGAACTGGCAGATTGTTTGGCTACACCCTGAAGTGCCTAAAAAAAAAAAAAAAAAAATCTATAAAAGTAGGGATAATAATAGTTCTGGTCCATGAAAAAAAAAAAAAAAAAAAGCTGGTGGTGTCCATGAAGCCCTTAACACGACAATTGGCTATCAGCAGATGCTCAGTGAATAGAAGCTAATTGTTTATGTTAAAAATTTTCAAAAAAAAAAAAAAAAAAAAAAATAATTAACCCCATATGTATGTATATGTGTTTGTGTAAAAAAAAAAAAAAAAAAATTTACATCACCTAGATTTGATATATTTCACCATCTTGAAAAAAAAAAAAAAAAAAACCCGTCTTTTTTTGCGGTTACTGAATTAACAAAACAGAAAAAAAAAAAAAAAAAAAATGCAGCCCTAAAAAATATGCATGCTTTCTTATACAGAAAAAAAAAAAAAAAAAAAAACATGAAATTTATCATGATTCTTAGTGTACTCTAATAAAAAAAAAAAAAAAAAAATTCTCTGATGGACTTAAAAATGTTTGTTTGTTTTTAACTCTTGGTTTGAATCAGGATTCAAATACTGTTCTTGTATTGTAATTGGTGATAATATTTCTTGTAATCTAGACAGTTCCCCAAACATTGCCCCTGCCAGCACATACACAGGTAAAAAAAAAAAAAAAAAAACTGGGTCCTGTGTGTTGTAGAATGTTCCATGTTCTGGAAAAAAAAAAAAAAAAAAAAATGGTGTCATTTAAAAATTATTTATGTATTTATTTTAAAAAAAAAAAAAAAAAAACTGTCACTCAGGCTGGAGTGCAGTGGCACAATCTCTGAAAAAAAAAAAAAAAAAAACCCAGGTTCAAGCAGTTCTTGTGCCTCAGCCTCCTGAAAAAAAAAAAAAAAAAAAATGCACCACCACACCCAGCTAATTTTTTTTTTTTTCTCAAAAAAAAAAAAAAAAAAATGCTATTTTGGCCAGGCTGGTCTCGAACTCCTGGCCTAAAAAAAAAAAAAAAAAAAGGCCTCCCAAAGTGCTGGGATTATAAGCGTGAGCCACAAAAAAAAAAAAAAAAAAATATCATTTAAATTATACTTGTGTTTCCTACATGTCCTAAAAAAAAAAAAAAAAAAATAACAGCTTAATGAGGTTTAGCCTCAGCTGCTTTTTGAAAAAAAAAAAAAAAAAAAGGTGCTGTGTACGTCGTAGCAGGAGGTACATGCCACTAAAAAAAAAAAAAAAAAAATCTCTAAAGTGGGCTCAGATGCGGTCGGTGTCAGTTTCTCATTGACAATCGTTGTCTCAATTAGTTATTTTGTTAGGGACCAACTTAACTAATAAAAAAAAAAAAAAAAAAATTCTATATAAGGATGAGGATAAAAGTAGCTGGCACTTAAAAAAAAAAAAAAAAAAACTGGCAATTAAAAACAAACAGTGGAGTTTATTAGGGACTTACAAAATGGTGAGTTTTCTAAATACACGATTCCTTCTGCATTGATTACTTTGAAAAAAAAAAAAAAAAAAAATTAGTTGCCTTTAAATATAGTTTAATTAGAAAGGCAGAAAAAAAAAAAAAAAAAAATGACCCTTGCCTCGTGGTATTGCCCCCATGCATAACAAAAAAAAAAAAAAAAAAAAAGGTGGAATTAAGATGATTGTCCGAGTGACCTTAATCTACTCACGTGTGCCCTTTGGAAGCAGCGTTTCCTCAGGCCAACAGAAAGGAGGAAGAAAAAAAAAAAAAAAAAAAAGGAAAGATTCCACACACTGTTGCTGGCTTTGCAGGTGGAGGGCGTGTGGGTGCTCCCTAAAAGCTGAGAGTGGCCCTGGCTGGCAGCAGCGAAAAAAAAAAAAAAAAAAAACCACAACCGCAAAGCACAGAATTCCATCCGTAACTGGAATGGGTTTGGAGGCAGATTCCTACTCAGAGCCTGTAAACAAGAACCCAGGCTGACAAAAAAAAAAAAAAAAAAATGGTGAGACCCTAAGCAGAGAGCCCAGTGGAACCCACAAAAAAAAAAAAAAAAAAAAACTGTGAGATGATACGTGGGTGTTGTTTTTAAGTCAAAAAAAAAAAAAAAAAAAATGGCATAATATGAGAAAACTAATACAGCAGGCGAAATCTCCATTCATTGTTTTTAATTGCCATTATTCAGAATAAAGAGATTACGTGACACTTAAAAAAAAAAAAAAAAAAATAAAGAAATTATATCTTAATAAATATTAGTTAAGTTGATCCCTAACTTGCTGTCAGTAAAACTTACACATTTAGATGTTGACGCAGTATCTTTAAAAAAAAAAAAAAAAAAATTATTGAATAGACAGGAAAATCATTCTATCAGTTATAAAAAAAAAAAAAAAAAAAATATTTTTCTTCTTTAAGATACATTGAAATTGTAAATGAAAAAAAAAAAAAAAAAAATTGATAAAGTCCATCTGTCTGTGGACAGTCTACTTAGCTTCTCTGTCTGCATGTTCACTCCTGTTAGAGGAGCATGTTTGAAATTATAAGGAGAAAAAAAAAAAAAAAAAAATTTAAGACAGGCTTGCTCTGTTGCCCAGGCTGGAGTGCAGTGGCGCAATCTTGGCTCACTGCAACCTCCGCCTCCCAGGTTCAAGTGATGCTCAAAAAAAAAAAAAAAAAAAAGCTGGGATTACAGTCA